CGGCCCTTGGTCTGAGTGCCGGTGGTTTCAACTGGTCAAGGAGGAAGCGGATGAGTACTTGAGCTTGACAGACTTTTCGCCTTCCTCGACCTCCTGCACCACCCTCATCAGGCATCTGCTGCCACGAATTCGCGCAGAGAAGAATTGGGAGACCAGTGCAGACGTTCAAGACGTCCGAGCGGCCTTAGCCTCGGCTTCCTTCCTTCGGCGAAAAGGTACCACAAACAGCTCTCGGTGGGACTCGTTTCACGAGTCCTTTCGCAGCCGCAAAGGCGAATGGGGGCTACTTTTGCTTGTCCTTCTGTCATACGGACTTCGCCTCGGGTACATCTTGAATCCGAAGCAGGCAACCTTGAGTGAGGACATCAGCCAAGTGCTGCCCAAAGCGGAGGAAGCAGCATCGGGCCAGGCAGAGGTGGCAGAGAAATCTCTAAAACAGGCAAAGCAGAAGAAGGATGCGCTGTATCAGCGTTGCAGGAACAAGCTTCACTGTTGCACAGTGCTGTTGGGCAGTATGGAGTTTTGCCGGGACATGACAGTTTGGTATTTGGCCACGGAAGCGCTGTCTGCCGAGCTCAACCACGTCCGCAAGAACGTTCACGGTCGCAACGCAACCCGTGAGCTCATGGTTGGACTGGCGTGCGGAACTTCGCCTAAGGTTGGCTTGGATGTCATCGCGGAGCTCTTACAAGTACCGCACAATGCAGAAGGCCTGCGTCAGCTTCATGTTTTGTTGCAGGATGATGTAGTTGGAGCGGTCAATGTGAAGCAGATTGCTCGAGAGGTGCAGCATCCTTGGGTCATGTGGCAAGACTCGATCGTACAACAACTTACAGATACCGTCCTTTGTGCTTGCCGATTCAAGCTCATGAACCTGTCTCAACACATGTTCTGTTTCCCGCTGCGTTTTGCTGCGTTAATTTCCGAGAAGCAGGAAGACGTCAACCGATGTCTGAAGGAATGTGTGGCGTTGTCTGAGAGCTGGGATGCGGCTCGTCATGCTGCGACTGACAGCAAGGCATGGAATGCTGTCTGCAGTAGATCGCCGATGCAGACTGTCGTGACAAGAGAGATTTTTGAGGCCTTGAAGGCATCCAACTTCGCGAGCGTGCCTCCGGACGTGCATCGTTTTTTGCACGATGTGATGGGCATGTTCTCGTCAACATACAATGAAGAAGCATTCGGCGAGATGCGGGGCCTGGAGTCCAGAGAGAACAAGTGTCATGCCATGCCGAACGCAGACATCTGGCAGTCTGCCAGCCACTCAGGTGTTTTGCGTCGCTTCGGGTATCGCGAAGTGGCTGTCGACGACTCACAAGAAGATCCAAGGCTGCCAGAAAGTCTGTATCACACCAAGGGCCTGGAACCAACGATGGAGAACTTGAAACATGTGTGCAAAAGACAGACTTGGACGAGCCTTGCGCCACACATGCAGGCGATGCTTCCTTCGGAGCTGATGATGACGAAAGACCTCTACACGAGGAAACTTCTCGATCAGGTTTCAGCAGCCTGGCGCACCAACTTCCTGATCAGAGGGCTCATCGT